TCTTCCATTGAGAAGATTTATGCTGGTGTCATTTAATGTCTCTGCAATGTCTTAACCTTCCTTAATTGCCTACTAGCAGTATTCTTAAAGAGCATGTGAAAGGAGGAGGAAGTAAATGCACTTTGGGATCTTTTCCTTTGCTTTCAGTCTCTGAGCCCCTAGGGTGCAGTTGCTTTAGGTTTTCCACCATTATGAGGGCAAGACATTTACTTTTATTTCAAACACTAGCTGAGATTTTCATGCAATCTCTTTATTTCAGCAGCTGGCCCATCAACAGTGGCAGCATCCGGCACCCCATGCCCTTCACAATCGCTGCCAGGTCGCCATCCCACATGCTCCAGAGCCCCATGTCATGCACTCTGAATCAGAGGCTGCAGTTCAGGAGAAGGGGGCAGTGTTCCCTCTAAACTGCATGGCAGCACAGCTTCACAGGGTTCCCTCTAAACTGCATGAAGCCCTGAGCCTCTGACTGGGCAGGACTGATTAATCACCTGTGCAGTTTAGAGGGAACACTGAAGAGGGGCAGGTGGAAGCCGATACGCATGGGGAGGTAATTTCTCTCTAAGGTGCGCACCTGCACAGGTGCGCACTAACAATTTGAATCCCGCCCACCTCCTTAGCAGAGTTGCTCAGATGCTGCTCAGCTGCTCCAGGGCAGAGCCATGTGGCAGGCAACTGCCCCGCTCCAGGAGCAGCTGGGCAGCCACCACTTGGCCCTGGCCCTAGGTTCAGCCCTTCTGCAGGGCTGGAGCTGTGGCCACAGTGAGCCACATGGCAGCTGCTGGAGCTGGAGCCAGGGCTGTGGTACTAAAAATAGCATCACAGCCCTGATCCAGGAACAGCTGCACCGTGGTCACGACTACAGTCCCGGCACATGGGGCAGCTGCCTGCCACGCAACCCCGTGTACCAGGACTGGAGCTGGGGCCACAATGGTAGTTTTAGTACCACAGTCCTGGCCCCAGAAGCCACCATGCAGCCCTGGCCTCAGCTGCTCCTGCGGCTGGGCCGTGTGGTGAGTGGCTGCCCTGTATGGCAGGCCTGGAGCTGGCCCGCAGTGCAACTACTCCTGGGCCGGGGCCAGGGTAGTAAAAATAGCAACATGGCCCTGTCTCCAGTCCCGGCACATGGGGCAACTGCCCACCATGTGGCCCTGCCCCGGCACCAGGGGACTAGAGGGGGGTGAGGGGTGCATGTGTCCGGAAGGCAGAAGGGAAGGGGAAGAGTGAGAACTAAGGGGAAGGTGGGGTGAGGAGATAGGGTTGTCAGGTGTCCGGTTTTGAACTGGACAGTCCAGTATTTGAGCTTTCTGTTCGGGAAACAAATTGAGAAAATATAAATGTCTGGTATTTTCTAAATAAGATGTTATGTAGATTGTGATGTCAAGTGTGTCCAGTATTTTTGTTGAAACCATCTGGCAAACCTATGAGGAGAGTAAGGGGCTTGTGTTGAGGGGAGAGGAGGTGGCCAGAGCAGGAGAAGAAAGAGGAAGGTACCTAAGGGCAGGATGGAGGACAGACAAATGCCATGGACCACAACTTTTTGGCATGGACAATGCAGGTCATCTGATCTGTCACATTGACAATGAGGGGAAAGAGCAGGAGAAGGGGGGGGGGATGGAAGGTGTCAGTGGGGGTGAAAGAAGGGAGGGGACAGAGTGATGTTGGGAGAGGAAAGGGAAGGGGTGGAGGGGAGAGGCAATAGGAGCAAAAGGAAGAAGGAGGAGTGGGTGTCAGGAGAAGAGGGGTTGAAAGGATAGGCAGGCATGAGGAAGGGAGGAGATGGAGCAAGAAATATTCAATAAACTGTTGTCTAGGTATGCAATAGACAGTATATCCTATACAAGCTCAGAAATGTTAGTCTGAAAGGCCAATTAACATAGATCCCTGAAAGGGGAGCCAGATTTCATAGAGAAGGAAGCCCAGCTGTGGTAGATCTGGGAGAGGACTATAAACAGAGAATGTTGGCTACTGGAAATTTTTCAGTATTAATTTTCTTTTTATTTGACTTCACATTAAAGAAACTTTTAAAGTCAGGTACTTAGTTACTTGTCCTGTTTTAGTATTCTTTCTTCCATAACATTGTAAAAAATAGTTATAAGATATTTGTTAATAACTTGGGTGCCACAGTGGCACGCATCCAAACAAGTGCACATGACCTCAATATTGGTGCACAAGACAAAACTCACTCCACTCATAAATGGAAAATCTTAGAGGGAAAACACTGGTGGGAGCTGGCTTTTAAGCTGGTTCTCCATGCATGCTGGCTCCACTGATCCACCTGCTGCCCCCGCTGCGAGGACCAGCTCCCCGCCTGTATACGTATAACCACTAAAAATTCCATTGGTTACATGTTTACATAATTACATGATAATTAACATCCCTAGGCCATACTGTAGCCTTATTTAATAGATATAAACACACATGAGGGAAAAGAATAATTTAGGCTAGTGAAAAGGTGAGTAACTAGGAGAGACGGTATGACATTAAGAGGTCAATTTAGAATAAATGTCAATTACCACAAATGTAAGAAGCCCCATTGCATAGGAGATTTAAAAGTAAAACTAAATACAATAAGTACTAGGGAATATAATGTAGCATAGAAATGAAAGACATACCCCTACACAACATTTCCATGATGGCTCAACATTTTCACATTGCCATTGAACAAGATGAGACTCTTAGATTTCCAAATATAAAACTCAATTAGTCATTTACTTAATATGGAGAGTATTCATGCTGATATCTGGTTCAACCCTGGCATGAGCGGACACAATTCCACTAAACAGATTAATAGAGTCCATGGCCAGATGGCACCATGGTAATCAGCCAGTCTGATAGCCTTATCTTTCTCTTGATTAAGCAAATATATTGAGTTCCTTGAGTCTGTCATTATAGGGAATGTTTTCTAATCCTCTAATCATTCTCATGGCTCTTCTCCGATTGCATTAATTACACTATCCTCCTTTAATCCTTCATTAACCAAGTACCACATCAGCCACTCCATTATCTTGCCTAAGATCAATGTCAGACTGACAGGCTTATAATTATGCAGATCATCCCATTTACCCTCTTTAAAAACTGGGAAACATTCACTTTCTTCCAGTGCTCTAGAGCTTGCCCAAAGCTCCAAGACATATTGCAAAATGTTACTCCTGTCCTACAAAAAGGGAGTAATAAAAAAAATGGGTCTGTAGCTAATGGAAAGATCCTGAACAAATTTCAAAATGAACTACATGCCCACACATTAAAACAAGCTTTTCAAGCCCATAGGATAGCCAGTAATAATGCCTTCGATTCTGACATGCATGAAGAAAAAAAACTATAATACTTTTCAAATGACAGTCTGAATCTTTTCATTCAGAAATATGGTGCCTAATCATGCTGTGACTGACATATATCACAATCAGAGCTGTGCCATTGATTTAAAGTGCAAAAGAATTGAATCCATTAGCTATGGTAAAGCATGAAGGGTTGAGTCTTAGGCAAATCAGCCAGATCTAGGCAAATTCTAGATAAACCACAACTTTTTGGCATGGACAATGCAGGTCATCTGATCTGTCACATTGATTCACTGCGTCCGAAATTAGGATGTCTCTTTCCTCCTATTTCCCCAAAATGTGCAAAACTATATTTTGCAGCACACCATCCATTAATGTGCACACAGACACAGGTGATCATTGTGTCTTATAAACAGGTAGGGAGGACATCTCTATTCTGAAGAGCTTGCAATCTGACTCAACTTTTAAAAAACTAGCATTATCTAACATACTTTAAAGAAAGAAAACACAGGAGTTACTTCTTAAGAGTCAAATAAAGTCTCCCCCATTCCTGCCTCAACACAGCAGCGAAAGATACAAGTTGCCCAAAATTTGTATCTTCCCCTATGTTAATGTTCAATCTAGAATAGTGTTTTGCAACCTTATTTATAAAGTACCCCTTTTTCAAAAAAAAAAAGTGTAATATCCCCAGTACCTACAGTTTTCAGACACGCAATTTTTTTCTACCATTGGAACACATTTGTTTAAACAACTTAATCGTAGCCTGGCAGGCAATGAAATTTTTGGGTGTAAAAAGTACAAAAATAATAAAGCGCTGTAAAACTTAAAACAAAAATTCAGTTTTCTCCAAATTTCAGTTGTGTTGACGTACCCCCTCCCCAGACTTCTTTCAAGTATCCCTAAGGGTACTTGTACCACTTGTTGAGAAACACTGATCTAGAACACCTAAGGACTACTGCTACTCTGGGTAACCAACTGAACATCAGCTCAAGCTGCGTTCACTTCTCCCCTCCTAATTTGTACGCTTTCTGCTGATTTGCCACAAGTATTTGACACAGTGATAATAAATTGCCAGACCTGCCAAATCCCACTTGTTTGGAGGAAGCCTGTGTCATTTTGGATTCATTTTGAGGAGTTTTTTAAAATAAAACATCTCACTCTTGGGTTTGGTTACAAATGTTTCAACCAAGGCATTTCACTCCTGTTTCCTCTGCCATCCCACTATTACAGAGTGATGTCCCGGGAAACAGCACGACCAGCCAAGGGAAAACAGAAACTCCTTGAGAACACAGGCATTAAAGAAAAAGAAAAAGCTCAGCAATCAGGGAAACATTTTGTTTTATGACGATGCTAAGTTAGGCAGGCAGGGCAGCCAGACCTCAAAACCTAGTGTGACTTGATCCAGAAGGAAACCAATCATGTGAAGGCCACAGCATTTATAACTACTGAGGAGACAGCTCAGGGAACTGTTTAGGAGACTTTGGAACTGCATTATCAAAAGGATGGAACAGTATTCAAACTGCAGACACACATTGCGCCTCTCTCGCTGGTACATTCAAAGTGTCGGGGGCGCTGTGGTTTGTGGGGCGCACACGCCACCCGCTGCTCTGCAACCCGGGGGATCGTGCATCCCACTGCAACGTGGGAAGTGGTTGCATCGCAAGGGAAGCAGCGGGTCTAACTCCTACTGAGCCACACGGGGGGGAGAGAAGAAAATCTCACCTCCTGGCACTGAGGCAGCCGCACGCCGGAGGAGGTCTCCGCAGCATCCCCAGTCCAAGCCGCTTGACAGCAGATTAAAGCCCAGCAGCAAATCCAAGCGGGGAAGCAAGAGCGCCAGGGAACCACCCAGCAGCCGGGACCACAAAACCATCTCGTCTTC